TAAACCCTAAACCCTAAACCCTAAACCCTAAACCCTAAACCCTAACCCTAAACCCTAAACCCTAAACCCTAAACCCTTAACCCTAAACCCTAAACCCTAAACCCTACTGTAAACCCAGGGCTCCATGGCCCGCGCCCGCCATTTGTCTTGCACAGGAGGGGTTCCAACTTCAGAAGGCAACTAACGGCGTCCTAAACCCTAAACCCTAAACCCGGTAGTTGCATGGTCCCTTCATATGGGCCCTTCAAAGGGGCCCCTGATAAACCCTTAGGGTCTAGGGTTTAGGGTTTAGGGTAGAGGGTCGAGGGTCGAGGGCAGAGGGTACAGGGCCCGAAACCCCCCAAGCTGCCAGGCATGGGCTCCAAGACTTCTTCGTAAGAACTGCCGAATCTACTGACATCTAGCAGTTTCAGAATGCTTGTGTAGAACTTTCTCTCTTGCTGTAGCTGGCATGCCGATGTGCGGGGTACGGGGTTGCATTGGCAAGCACGAGGGTGCACCTGTGCAAGTGGGGAAGTACTTCGTCCTCAAATGCGACTTGAACCCAAGCCACCGAGCGTGGAACGTGGATCAGAAATGGTTCTGGGCCACACGCAAACCGGCCCGTGCTGCTGAGGCGGCTGCTCCTGCTGTTGCTTCGGAGCCAGCAGTCGGAGCTGGCAATGGCAGCGGCAGTGAGCGTGACAAGGAGGTGGTGGAAGCTCTTGGAGATGGCCATGGCAGTGACTATGAGAAGGAGCTGGTGGCAGCTGAGCAGGAAGCTGCGGAACGTGAAGCTTCTGCTGCTGCTCCTGCAGAGTTGAATCTTCTCGTAGGCAGATGGTCGGCCTCTGAACGGGCGGCTGCCGTGGCATCATATTTGCAGCGGCGTGAGCCTGAAGAATGGACCCGCCTCTTGAAGTTGGCAGCAGCTGATGCTCACCACCTCTCCGAGGGTTCTGACTCACATGATCGCTTTGTTCCTCGCAAGCGCAGGAAGTCGCAGAGCTATGTGTGGCAGCACTGCCATTTGAGAAAGTCGACGAATGGCAGTCAGTGGTACTGTAACATATGCGCAGAGAGTCGTGACAGTGCACATCTCCCATTGGGGTCTTGGGGAAAGTACATCGCTGGCTCCACGACCAACCAAGCATCACACCTGCAGGTATGCCACCAGATCGGTCGTCCCGGCTCCGGTGCTGCGGACCCGGCTGAGAAGACGTCGGAGAGGTTTTGGAGTGCGGAGGAGCTCCAAAGCACTGCGAAGCTCATGGCCAAGTGCTTCGCGCTGGACAGACTTCCACCATATTGGGTGGAACGTCCTGGATTCAATGCCTTGATGCATGGTTTGCTTGGTCCGTCCTTTAAAACTCCCACTCATGGCACCATCGCGCGGCACCAGGACAACATGCTTGAAGAGATAGACACCATGTTGCAGCAGGAGCTTTCAGAAATACAGCTGGCACAGTACCCTCTGCTCACCTTGTCCACCGATTTGTGGGAGGGCTGTGATGGATATCACTATCTCTGCATCATCGTCCATTACGTCACTGCAGCGTTCCAACGGCGGAAGAAACTGCTCTACATGGACAAGCTGAAAACAAGCAAGTGCGCGTCTGATGTTGCGCAGCGCATCCGTGCTGTCCTTGCCAACGCGGACATCAAGGAAGAGTGGGTTTTTGCGGCCGCGTCAGATTGCACCAGCTCAGCTCAAAACATCAGCAAGTTGCTGGGTGTGCAAACAGTCCTCTGCTCAGCTCATGTGATCGCACTCGAACCTCGACGCCAGCTTTTCCCTGTCCAAAGGCAGCGGGCGGGGTCAGGGAGGCTTCAGGCCACCCCAAACCCTCAACCCTAAACCCTCAACCCTCAACCCTCAACCCCTTAAAGCCTCAACCCTAAACCCTAAACCCTAAACCCTAAACCCGCCCCCCCTCCCTGTGGAAGGCAGCGCGCTGGGGTGGTCCAGCTGGAGCCGCACGAACAAGCAGTGCCGGCGGTCGTCAAGCACGCTGAACAGGTTCGATCTCGGGCCAAGGCTTTCAGATTTAATGAGAAACATCGCTTGGACTTGGAGCAGGCGCAGCGGTATGTGGGTTGCACCAAGCCCAAGCGTGCCCATGTGGACTCATCGGCCAAATGGGGCTCGAGCTTGTGCATGTTCGAGACGGACTTTTCTCTGCGGTCAGCGTACAGGGAGTATGCCAGTCGACACCACGACCCTCCTGCTGCTCCTTGGTGACAAGTTTATAATTAGGTTGACGGTTTACCTGTTTTCGGGTTTTTGCATGCTCTGAATTTTCCAGGTCCGTGTGCCGGCTGATCCGGCTGAGTACGTGGCAAGCCGAGACGTGGCCGCCGTTTTGCGGCCATTCAAGGTGGCTTGTGAGATGCTCCAGGGTGGCGAGAGCCCTGCCGCCATGATTTTGCCGGTGCTCACTGCGCTCTCGCAGCAGCTGCAAGAAGATCAGATGTTGTGGGTGGCAACCGATGTGCCCAATGCGCTGGAACAAGTCGGAGAGAACATGCTGCACCCGTTGGCGCAGCAGCTCCGCACGCGCTTGAGGGAGCACATCTCTCTGCAAAGCCGCCACATCGAGGCCCAGAGGGGGCTTCTCCTGGTAGCGTCGTTTCTAGATCCTCGGTTCCGCTCGCTCAAGTTCGTGTCTGCGACTGATACTTCGGTGCTGAGTATTTGGTTTTGGGTACGTTCCATAATGAACATGAATAGTCCACCTTTTTCCTCAACAGAGTCGGGTTCTTAAGGAAAGAGACGAGACGATACAACGAGTTCTGGTGGAAGCTGCGCGGCTTCAGCAGATCACAGAACCTGTTCGGGATGCTCCGGATTCGCCGGCTCCGCGCCCCCGCTGCCCGAAAGATTCTTTCATGGCCGCTATGGCCGCCATGGAGTGTCGTACAGGCGAGGCGCTCGACCCGGCCCGCCAGAAGCGCAGGCTCCTCAAGGAACAACTCGCAGCGTATGGGCACGCGCTGAACATAGATGTTTCTGCTGACCCACTGAAGTATTGGCAAGACCACCGTGAGAACTTCTCCTACTTGCTTCCACTTGCAAGACGTTATGGAGCCATCCCATCTTCAACTGCAGATGCAGAAAGATTGTTCAGCATGGCGAAGCACTTCTTGGCGGACAACCGCCATTCCTCGGAGTCAATAGACAAGCAAATGCGCCTGTCTCTAAACTTGCCTGATGTAGGCTTGTGGCATGTGCCTGACTGTCCGGAGTCAGTCTGAAAATCAACTGTTCCGATGCTAGCGGTGTGTCAAGCGGACATGCTGCTTTCTGCCTTCTGTCACATGTACAGCCAATGGCGACCGACTGGCACGACCTTTGCAATGGGGAGCATGGGGTACTGTCGTGTCAAAGTCTGCGGGCTAGACCCTATACGTCCGGTGTAGGGGAGTTCGAGGGATATTCGTGGGATTCAGAGGACCATGGAATAAGTTGAGGAGGGCAAGGGGATGTCATCAGTGGACTCGAAGTCTATTCGCACCTCCCAAAACCCCTGTTAAAACATAAATGAAAATTTAAAAGTTTTGGATTTTGAGTTGTGGGTTTTTAGTTTGTGACGGTCGGAGCGATGTGAGGGTATGAATGGTTGGGGTGGTGGCTGGAAGGGGTGGGCGGGTGGGAGGGTCTGGTGAGCGGCTGGAGGGCTGGAGGCTGCAGCGGGCGGGTGGCTGGAGGGGAGAGGTGGGTGGGGGCTGGGGGTGGGCGGGGGTGGCTGGGGAGAGGCTGGGTGGCTGGAGGGCTGGCGGGGGTGGGTGGCTGGTGGTTGAGGGGTGGGTGGCTGGAGGGTTGGGGGTGGCTGGAGGGCTGGGTGGCTGGAGGGGGGGGTGGCTGGAGGGGACGGGCTGGTGGCTGGAGGGTGGGTGGCTGGAGGGGGTGGGTCTGGACAGGGGGTGGGGCTGGGTGGCTGGAGGCCTGGCTGGGGGTGTTGGGGGGTGGGTGGCTGGAGGGGGTGAGGGGTGGTGGCTGGTGGGTAGGGAGGCCTGGCTGGGGAGGGTGGGTGGCTGGAGGGTGGGTGGCTGGAGAGGGGGTAGGGGTGGCTGGAGGGCTGGTTGTTGTCGGTGCGATATTTTCCTGCACGGTTCGGGGCGGTACGGTAAGCTGCCTGCACGGTTCGGTGCGGTGCGGTAAGCTTCCTGCACGGTTCGGTGCGGTACGGTAACGGTTCGGTGCGGTACGGCGGAATTGTATTGTTGAAACGCCCATGTAAATGGCTGAACTTTTGAAGCTTAAATTTTTTAGGATGTTCAATTCTAAAATCCGTAACTTCCTTAATTTTGAACGGCTGCCCGTCTTTAATGTTAAGGAATTTTAGACTTTTAAGGGATAAACGTTTCGAGGTTTTTAAGGGCTTTAAAGCCTATTAAGATCCTTTAAATCTTGAAAATTTTGAAATGTTTTAAGTACCTTAAAGCCCTTCAAATTTGAAAAGGGCTGCCCCTTTAAAGGATTTAAAATTGCAGATGGTCTGGGGAAGCCCCGGTGCCTTCCACATATCATCTAAATTTTACAAACCCCTAAAACCCTGAAAAGCCTTAAACTTCTAATTGCTACCCTTCTAAAATTTTATGGGGCCGCAAGACACAAGTTTCAGAAGCAAAATGCACATAAAAAACACTAGTGTTTTTATAGAGGATAATATACTAGAGCTTTTTGTATTCCAGTGCAGTTTTTACTGCATTTTCCGAGGAAAAAGCAGAAAATCAGACAAAGACGAAGACAAGAAAACCATAGGTGTGGATCATGGGGGGGGGGGGGCTGACCATATATATATATATATATATATATATATATATAGAGACCTGATTTATATATTTATGTTTGCATGTGTATAGGGACGTGGTCGCAGAATGTTCGTGTCTGTGTTTCATTCTCTCTCTTTGTCTGTGCCGGGGGGAGGGTTGGCGTTCAGGGTTCAGGGTTTAGGGCTAAACCCTAAACCCGAAACCCTAAACCAGGGGGGGGGGTTGTTGCTGGTGGCACTTGCGAGGCAAACAAGAAGGTGTTCGCCTGGCTTCAGCAGAACCGACCCTTGTTCGCAAACCTTGGTTTAGGGTTTAGGGTTTAGGGTTTAGGGTTTAGGGTTTAGGGTTTAGGGTTTAGGGTTTAGGGTTTAGGGTTAGGGCCTAAGTAGCCAATCCCCGAAAAGGGACATGCAGTCACGTAAGGTGTTCCAAGGTTTGTTTGGACTACTTGGAGGTCCATCGTACTTCTGACTCCATGCGGCAGGATTTCCAGCCCTTTGTGGCTTAGGGATTAGGGTTTAGGGCTGCGCCCCCGACAGAGCCGGGACCCAACAAAACCATGCCTTGACGATCAAGGCCTCGAAAACCCTGCACCTCCCAAAAGTAAGGGGGAGGTTCTCCCGCCGCCCGACGCCACGAACTGGTGTGTGGGGGCAGGCAGTAGATCCCCTTCCCAGGCAGTTAAAGCCCTAAACCCCTTCCCCACAGCACAAACACCTCAAACCCGAAAAACCAAAACCCCAAAACCCGGAACCCTTAACCCCTAAACCCTAAACCCCTGAACCCCAAAGCCCTGGACCCTAAAACCCTGACACCCTAAACCCTGAAACTTAGGCTTATACTAACAGTCTTTAAATCGGGATTCTAGTGCCCGGTAGTGTAATACCGATTGAGGCTTGTTAGTATAATTTGCAACATCGCATCCTGAAACCCTAAAGCCCCCAGCGTCTAATTAGACGAGGATTTTCCAATGTCAACCACGAGCGATGGTTCCTCGGAAGGTGGGGCCTTTGAGTTTACGCCCCTACGAGGTTTGGGGGTTTGGGGCCTAAGAGGTTTAGGGTTTAGGGTTTGGAGTGTAGGGCTTAGGATTTGGGGTTTTTGGTTTAGGGTTTGAGGTTTAGGGGTTAGGGCCTAATGGGATGGGATGGACCTTCCCTGCACCCCTCTGCTCCTACACACCCTATTGGTCGATTCTATGAATGCTCCTGTGGAGAGAGGGTTTAGGGTTTAGGGTTCAGGGTTTAGGGTCTTGGGTTAGTTTAGGGTTGAGGGTCAAGGTAGCTACCGAACAAGCAACCCTAAACCCTATACCCTAAACTCTGAACCCTACACCCTAAACCCTAAACCCAAACGCTTACCCCCATAAATAAACCGTCAAGGCAAGTAGATATAGGTACAACCCACAGCTATAGTACCTAAGGACCTATGTTGGTTTTCATTACAGTCTTGAACAAACCCTGAACAACACTAAGAAGTACAACCTACACTTACAGTGCTACAACTAGGGGTTGCGGTTTTGGGTTTCACAGCCCGAATAGGGTTTAGGGTTTAGGGTTTAGGGTTCCCCTATTTCCAGAATTGATAAGACTCATAGTATCCCCAGGCCCTCAATCCGAAAACCGCAAGCCAAGAGTTGAGAAAGGTGCGTGGGGTTTCATGATGCATCTAACCCTTACGGTTTCAGGTTTAGGGTTTGGGGTTTAGGGGTAAAGGCCTGCAGTAGCTAGCACTCCTCACAATGCCGACATTACTAACTCGCAAGATTCCTCATCCACCGCAACCCACCCCCCCCCCCCGCCCCCACCCCCTCCCGAAATCGCAAGGGCCCATGCTTGGGCCCTTGTCAGTACCCTGATCGACAGGGGCTTCTATCCACTTCACGCTGCTATCCGGGAGTGGCTGTGCGTGCAATGGTGAGGGTTGATGCCTTTACCCTGGGGCTCCATTAAGTATACAAATAATACCTACATTGGGGTCTAAAGTCATGTTTCTTGTGCCTACTTTGGACTATTTGGAGCCTTAAGGTTAGGATTCGGGAATTAAGCCTTGCGGGGTCGAACCTCGGCTTAGGGTTGAAGAGTTCGGCGTTTCACCTTAGGCTGTCACGGCCCCCAAAACCCAAAACCTCCTAAACCCGTTCTGCTGTGGGTCTCGAGACCGCTATTGCACATGAGCGGTCTTCTAGGCAGCCTAGTGACTTATGGAACCCCTGTTCCCCTTTTCTTTTCCTAGTGTATGGATCCCTTGTGCACCTTTCTCTGTGGAGGAAAGACGGGGGTTTCCAAAAATTAGGGGTACGTGCCTGATTGGGGTCCGTATTATTAGGGAATCCTAGTATTAGGGGTCCCGGAATTCGTAAACACCCAGATGTACCCCTAAGGGGTCCATGTACCTGAATAGGGAACACATTTGTGCCTTAAAGGACTTGCTATATAGGGAATATAGGGCCCAAGTATATCATAATGAGGTACATGGACCTTTAGGGTACTAGCAGACCTATTAACCCTGCAGGCCATGATGTCGGGTTTCGCTATGAGGGTCCAGGGTCTAGGGTGCGAACAAGGGTCTGCAAAACAAAACGGTTGTTTAGGGTTTAGGGTTTAGGGTTTAGGGTTTAGGGTTTAGGGTTTAGGGTTTAGGGTTTGTAGGGGTTTACGGTGGGTGGGTTTGTGGCTTCTTTAGGCTGTAGGGTTTAGGGTTGGGTATTGTGAGGGTTTGGAGGATTAGGGTAGGGTCGGGGTCGGTCCAGCGTTCCTTTTAACTCCAAGAACCGCCAACAAAGGCCGGTTCTGCAGGACTGGCTCAAGCATGGAGGTTTTAGTTTAGGGACTTTGGGTTTAGGGTATGCCAGGCCCCCCCCCCCCCCCCCCCCCGCCACCCACCGCGATGCCCACCCTAAACCCTGAATCATAACCCGTAAGCCCTGACCCTAAACCAACCTACCCAGAAAGAAAACCCTCGCGCCCAAAGGAACAACGTCGAGATGGTCAAGCTTCTCTTGGACTTAAAAGCTGCGCCTTGATGGCACCCTGGAGTAGTCGGGCTTAGGGCTTTTTTGAGCTGAAGGGTTTGGAGTTTTAGGGTTTGAGGGTTTGGGGTTTAGGGTTTAGGGTTTAGGGAGGGGGGGGGGGGGGGGGGGCGCTTCTTTGGGGTTTAGGGTTTAGGTTTGAGGCCTGACTGAGGGTTTGTGGTGGTGGGCCACCATTAAACCCCCGAGCACTCAACCCTAAACACCCCCAAGGACCTCTAGGTGGTTTAGGGTTTAGGGTTTAGGGTTCAGGGTGCAGGGTTTATAGGCTTTAGGGTTTAGGGTTTGGGGTTTAGGGTTTCGGGTCTCTTTGTTAAAGCCTAAGCAAGCAAAGCTAAGTACGGCAAAGGCAGGGCATCCTCTCTGTGTACCGAGGGGACGGACAGATGACCAAACTACACCTAAACTCTAAACCCTAAACCCTAAGCCCTAATCCCTAAAGCCTAAATCCTAAACCCCAAACCCCAAACCCCAAACCCCAAACCCCCAACCCCAAACCCCCAACCCCAAACCCCAAACCCCAAGCCCTAAACCCCAAACCCAACCCAAAACCCTAAACCCCCCAAACCCCAAACCCCAGACCCCAAACCCTATCCTACTGCCTACACATTAAGAGCCGCCAAGGACCCAGCAAAGAAGAATTCTGGTGGCCAGACACCCCTGGAGTACGCGCAGATAAAGCAGAGGACAGGGGCCCCCGTCTTTTTGGGGTTTAGGGGAATGTGGGGATTAGACCCAAAGGGGAATTCTGTTTTGTTTATATAAAACCCAAGAGGATATAAAACATGTTATTGTTACAGTATTAATGTTCGAAGGAGAGTATAGGTTTAGGGGAATGTGGGGATCAGGCTTGTCCTAAACCCTGAACCCTAAACCCAAATCCCGACTTCACCACCCGAAAACCCTACATAAAGCACTAAGCAATTTAGTGTTTAGGGTGTATAGGGTTTATGGTTTAGGGTGTAGGGTGTAGGGTTTAGGGTTTAGGGGTCCTATGCCGCTTTCAAAGCCCAAGGCCTGAAAGGGCGTGTGGTCTTTTTGGGCATTCCCTAAACCCTAAACCCTTATAAACCCTACACCCTAAACCCTAAACCCTAAACCCTAAACCCTAAACCCTAAACCCTTATAAACCCTACACCCTAAACCCTAAACCCTAAACCCTAAACCCTAAACCCTAAACCAGCCCCTGAACCCCCGAGAAGCCACAAGTTCATGGGCTCAGTCTGGAGCTCGAACCCCAAACCATAGGGGCTCTAAGCCCGAAACCCTAAACCCTAGCCCTAAACCCTAAACCCCGAAACCCTAAACCCCCTAAACCCTCAAAGCCATGCTAGAACTCTCGTGTCTTTAAAGAGTACGAGCCCTAAACTTCTTCTTGCGACACTCACCTGAGCCCCTGACTGAGCACACGGGTTTAGGGTTTAGGGTTTAGGGTTTAGGGCTGCAGGACTAGCGTGATCACCGACATGCTTCAGGGGGACTGGTAACCCTGAGCCGTGCCTGCCACCTGCTGCAGAATAGGGTTTAGGGTTTAGGGTTTAGGGCTTCGGGTTTAGGGTTTACAGGGTTTAGGGTTCAGGGGTTTAGAGTTTAGGGGTAACCATGAACCCGAGCCCCATAGGCCCCAAAACGCCTAAACCGCACGCTTCTTCTTTGCCTATGGGGGGGTTCGGGTGGGGAGTCGGCAATTTAAGGGCTTGGGACTCCGGGGGTTGCAACCCTAGACCCTCAATACCCTCAGACCCTAAGACCCTCAACCCTGAATCCCTGGCAGGGTTTAGAGCTTGGGGTTTGGGGTTTGATATTGAGTCTTCGGCGCCCTGAGGGTCCGTGTGCCTCATTAGTAACAGGCCCAACAGTCAGTGGGTGGGGCAATTTAGGGTTTAGGGTTTAGGGTTTAGGGTTTAGGGCCTTGTATAGGTACGCAGACCCTACGAGAACCCTTCTGTCGCCATCACCCACCTTCAAGAACTGCAAACGCACCCGAACCATAAACCCTGAACAGCCCAAACCCAAAACGCCCTAAACCTGCAACCCTAAACCCTAAACCCTAAACCCTAAACCCTAAAGCCTAAACCCTAAACCCTAAACCCTAAACCCTAAACCCTAAACCCTAAACCCTAAACCCTAAACCCTAAACCCTAAACCCTAAACCCTAAACCCTAAGCCGAGGCGGGAAGGCTCGGCTCGGCTTCTTTGCTCCGCGTGAAAGCGACTCTCGTGGCGGGATGTGCTTGACGATCCCAGCCCAAAGACGTCTAACCCTAAACCCTAAGCCCTAAACCCTAAACCCTATACCCGCTTCCTTAGTAGGCGCAGAAAGAGGTACCCTTACAGGCTATATGTTCATAAGGTACGTGTCCAAATTCTTCTCCCCCCCCCTCCCCCAGAAGTGTGAGAGTTTGAGGGCACTCCCGTAGGGCTTGTCAGGGAGTATCCTGGTGGCTGCTTCCTGTATCAGCCATATCCTTACCATAAGGGAAAGAACGGTTTGGGGTTGAAGCCGAAGCCCTAACCCCGCTAGGGTTTGGGTTTTAGGGCTTTAGGTTTTAGTCTTTAGGGTTTAGGGTTTAGGGCTGAGGGTTTAGGGTCTAGGGTTTAGGGTGTTAGGCATGTGAAAGAGCGGGGTGCAAGCTGCCTCAGAGGTTCTTGCTCGCCTGCAGCACAGCTTTCAGTCGATAACTTCTCAACTTGTGAGTTCGTTGACCCTCACCCCAAACCCTGAACCCTGAACCCTAAACCCTAAACCCCAAACCCCAAACCCCAAACCCTAAACCCTAAACCCTAAACCCTAAACCCTAAACCCTAAACCCTGAACCCTGAACCCTGAACCCTGAACCCTGAACCCTGAACCCTGAACCCTGAACCCTGAACCCTGAGCCCTCGTCAAGATATCCCCTTTGTTGCCGATGCTTGGCAAAAGGCCAGCTACAGGCTGTGCAGCGTGGCGAACGCCCCTCGCACGGTTTAGGGTTTAGGGTTTAGGGTTTAGGGTTTAGGGGTTAAGGGTTAGGGGTTAGGGTTTAGGGTTCAAGTGGCCTTAACCATGGCTGTACGGGTGAGCCCTTGAACCCTAAACATAGGGAGCAATCGCTGGAGCCTAAGCCCTAAACCCTACAGTAAACCCTAAACCCTAAACCCTAAACCCTAAACCCTAAACCCTAAACCCTAAACCCCATGGGGTTTGCAGAGCTTTGGCTTGCTTTGCTTTGATGGCGAAGGGATGCGGCCCGCTCTCACTCGATAGCGCGTGCCCTTTTTTTTCCAACGAAAGTTTGGGCCGCGAATTCCACCACCTGCAGGGTTTAGGGTTTAGGGTTTAGGGTTTAGGGTTTAGGGTTTAGGGTTCAGGGTGTAGGGTTTAGGGTTTAGGGCGTCGTCCCGGCAGCCAAGGCCCCTTTAGGGTGTATCAGGACCCATTGGACCGCTGCGGAGGCCCCATTTAGCCCTATTTCCGGTCATCATGAAGTAGTACAGGTTTAGGGTTTAGGGTTTAGGGTTTAGGGGTAAGGGCTAAGGGTTTCGGGTTTAGGGTGCAAGGTTTCGGGTTTATTAAAGCGGGCTGTCTACCCGACCTTCTCAAGGTCCCGAATTCCTAAGTACTGTGACTCCTGAACCCCTGGCCCAGCATGAGTCCCTAAACCCGAGTGCCAGTCCCAAACCCTTTATCCTAAACCCTAAACCCTAAACCCTAAACCCTAAACCCTAAACCCTAAACCCTAAACCCTAAACCCTAAACCCTAAACCCTAAACCCTAAACCCTAAACCCTAAACCCTACAGCCGGCCCCTGTCTCAGCACTTTCCAGTGCTTGCGCTTTCAACCCACCCACCCCCGAGGCAAGGGCCTGTTTGGGGGGGTGGCGCGCCCGCGGCACTGACGAGACCGCCCGTTTCGGGTTTAGGGTTTCGGGTTTAGGGTCAGAAGTGAGGCTTTAGAGTTTAGGAATTGAGGGTTTAAGGGTCTGGGGTTTAAGGTGTGCTCTTTCTTTCCAGGTTTGGGTACCCTAAACCCTAAGCCCTTAATCCTAAACCGACATTGTAAGACCTAAAAACCCTGCATTCTCGGAAGAAGCGCCCACAACCAAGCCCAAAACCCGAAACCTTATGTCAGCCCGTCGGAGTTCAAGGTTTAGGGTTTAGGGTTTAGGGTTTAGGGTTTAGGGTTTAGGGTTTAGGGTTTAGGGTTTAGGGGTAGCTGCATGTTCTCGTCTATGCCCGTGCTGCGCGCACTTCGCCTTAATCCGAGGAGCCCATGCTCCCTGAGGGGCTGCGGCCTTTGGGAACAGGGAATTCTGGTTGCTGGTCAGTATTTCAGGGCTTTAGGGTTTAGGGTTTAGGGTTTAGGATTATGGCTTTAGGCTTTCGGGGTGTTAAAGCAAAAGTTGTGAACCTTAAGCCCCCCAATCCTGTACCCTAAAGCCCAATCCTAAACCCCAAGCCTCAACCCCTCCCCAAATCCTACTCCCTACAGGAAGCCCCAAAAAGTTGGAAACCTTTTTTAAGGACAACTCGTGCTGGGGTTCCCTATACTTTACTTTCAGGGATTGATGGTTCAGGGAATTAGGGTTTAGGGTTTAGGGTTTAGGGTTTCCAAATTGTTGGCTTCTTCTGGAAGCCCCAAATCCAAAAGCAAAAGCCGCAAGCGCGAGGCTCTAGGAGTGGATCCTGAATCATTGGAGTCCACGGGCCCACGGCTTTGGGTTTAGGCCTTGGGGTTTTGGTTTCAGTGTTTTGGGGTCTAGGGTTTAGGGTTTAGGGGTCAGGGGACTTGATTCATCCACAGCTTGAACTCCAGTCGCCCAAAGAGCTTGGCTTCACATATTCTGGGGGCCACGCGCTGCAGATGTACGTTCGGTGCGAGTTCTAAAGGTATAAGTTTAGGGTTTAGGGTTGAGGGTGGAGGGTTTACGTGGGTTTTGGTGCATTACATGCAGCTCACCGTGGCCCCCTGTTCAAGATGCACCTGGCAAAGGCCAGGATTTCCGTTATCCAAATAGACTCCCGACCGCATGCTCGGATCCCGAGTGAGGAGCAAAGGCAATGGTTTAGGGTTTGGGGTTTAGGGTTATGGTTTAGGGTTAGGGCCCCAGAAAGCAGCTCAAGATATTCATCCACATAGCAAGTCTTTCTATTCTCTATAAGGGGGTTTACGAAAATAGGGGACCCCTAAAATAGACCCAAATAGTAGGATTCCCTATAATAAGGGAATTATTTGCGGAAAGCCCCCCCATATGTGCATACAGGCACAGTAGACACAGATCTAGACTTAACACCTTAGGGGCTGGGAAGGTGACTTTTATTCTTTTTGGTTATGTAGAAGCCTACTATATATATATATATATACATATACATATGTATATATATATATATGAGGTTAACCTTTTTGGGGCTAGGGCATTCAGCCGCTAAGACACTCTCTGGTTCACATCAACTTTCGCATCTCCCCCTGCTGCAACTCGAGGAAGGTCTTCTTGGGCTTCCTCCTATGAGAGCTCGAACCCAAGGGTAGCTACATGTGCCCTAAACCCTAAACCCTAAACCCTAAACCCTAAACCCTAAACCCTAAACCCTAAACCCTAAACCCTAAACCCTAAACCCTAAACCCTGAACCCTGAACCCTGAACCCTGAACCCTAAACTTGGTATGGCCCCTTACCTCCTTTGAAGGGTTCTGAAGTACGGGCCCTTAAGTTGAAAAGGGTATATAAGGAGTATAGAAGGGGTCCGCATGCTACGGGACCATGTAGCTACCCTAGGATAGAATGAGACCCTAAATCCCAAACCTCAGTCCCTAGACCCTGAACCTAGCCCGGAAAGTCCATGTGCAGCACCATTATGGAATCGGGTACCCCAAAACCCTATGTAGCATGGTTGTTGGGAGTAGCAGGTGTAGGGTTTAGGGTTTAGGGTTTAGGGTTTAGGGTTTAGGGCTTAGGGTTTAGGGTTTAGGGTTTAGGGTTTAGGGTTTAGTTGGGGGGTGGGGGGGTACCTGGTTCCATAATCGTACCGGATAATGAACTTCTTTGAGGTGAACAAGGGGGACCCTTTTTCCTGCAGGTCACCGTGCAGCTGGGTCAGAATAAGGGCACAGCGCATAGAACGAGGCTTTCTGAATCATGATAGGATACTTGCATGTCCCCTACACCCTAAACACTAAACCCTAAACCCTAGCCCTAAACCCTAACCCTAACCCTCAACCCTAAACCCTAAATCCCAAACCCTAAACCCTAAACCCTAAACCTTCTGCTTGGAGGCGGTCTTCGGACTTTTCGAGGGGCCGAAGCTCACGGCCTACACCATGTTTGGGACCTCAGGGGGCGGAGCAATTTGTCCTAGGCCTTGTAGGGTTGAGGGTTTACGGTTTCAAGGGTTTCAAGGGTTTCAAGGCTTTCAAGGGTTTGAAGGGTTTCAAGGGTTTCAAGGCTTTCAAGGGTTTCAAGGGTTTCAAGGGTTTCAAGGGTTTCAAGGGTTTCAAGGGTTTCAAGGG